GTGTGTGTGTGTGTGTGTGAGTGAGTGTGTGTGTGTGTGTGTGTGTGTGTGTGTGTGTGTGTGTGTGTGAGTGTGTATGTATGTGTGTGTGTGTGAGTGAGTGAGTATGTGATTATATGAACAAAGAGCATTAGAGACACACTGGAAACTCACAGGCGCACAGATTGTTGGGGCCGTTGCGGGAGAATCTGCTCATGTCACGGATTAGAAGACACATCCAAATGAAAAAAGGATTAAACTCTCTGACACGCATTTATTTATTTATTAAATCTCTACAAACAGATTTTTGGGATGTGTGATCTACTGGGTGATTGTCCTGTTCATGCAACAGCAGACCAGTGTTACTATTATTAACTTAAATTATTAAATATAATTTTCATGAATTGAAATAAAGCTAAAATAAAATATAATAAAATATTAAATTAAATGGAAATTATAAATGTGACATTGGCAACTAACTGATATAAATTAAGATTAAGTTGAAGTACTAAAAGGACAAATAAATTAATAAATCAATGAAAAAAGCATGTAACAAAATTAAAAAAAATTAAAATAGTAATAATATAGATTTAAATTTAAATATATTATTAAAATGTAAAAATGAAAATGAAAACTGAAAATATAATATATATTATTTATTTGTTAAGCTATCATTTGTGTTTGTGCTACTCCTGCCTTGTTTGCTCTTGGATTTGTATTTAAAAGACTTCTGTGGAAATGCGCTCCTTCGCCCTGCGCTCTTCTTTACAGCCCGTGCAACTAACTGATATAACATTAAGCGGAACGTTAAATTTTAAGTTGAATGTTAAAATGACTAAAATTACACCTAAAAATATTAAATAATTGAATAGTAATAATACTTTTTTTTTTATATATATATTTAATATTTTAAATGTTTTTTTATTTTTTTTTATTTAAATATATTAATGTAAAAATGAAAATTTAAAATAAAAGTGAATTAAAATATTTATAAATATTTTAAATAATTAAATACTAATAATAAAATAAAAATTTAATATTTTTAAATTTAATATTTTTTCAAACAATTCAATTTAAATAAATGTAAAAATTAAAATTGAAAATTGAAAATAAAAGGGAATTAAAAAATATTTATAAATATTTTAATTAATTAAATAGTAATAATACAATTAAAATTAAAATATTTAATATTTTAAATTAAATAAAAAAAATCTATTTAAATAAATTAATGTAAAAATGAAAATTGAAAATAAAAGTGAATTAAAAATATTTATAAATACCAATAACAAAAATAACACTGCAGCAGACAGAAGCAGAACCACTATTTCTTTTGTGTCCTGAAAGATTTAATTTTATAGTTTTATTCTCTGACCGTACAGTTGCTCCTGTTTTCTGCGCCGAGAGATTTGATTGATCATTAGTCATTGATTAGTGATGGTGTTCATGTCAAATGGCTAGTTTATAACTATGTTTCCTCGTAGTGAATTTCCAGCTCTGTTTATGCAGCAAGCAAACTCACTGTAGATTTCAGCTTCAGTGTGAACGTCTAAACCGAAGTCAATCCGCTTCTCGAACTTGCCTGCAACCGTAATGACAAACCAGATGAAGATAGTGAATATCAAGACTTGCTACTGCGTCCTGAAGGATTTAATGGCATATGTTGCATTTATATGTAGTATATCTGCATTCTAGAGCTTTTGGAGCAAGTCTGGTTCGTAATCGAAGCGTGTGCAAACAGAAGCGCGTTTGATCAGGACTGTGTGAATGAAGCCACAGATAAAGAAGAGCTTCCTTCATGCACGTGTGAATTTGACTTTCACACCCTTCTCGTCTCAACTTCCTTATCGACACAAACGGTTCGAGAGAAAAACAGAGCGATGTTGGCGTCTTCCTCTTGTGAAGAGGAAGTTGAGTTTGCAGTGAGCTGAGCTGGATCTGACTCTGACAGACAGATGAGCCTTTATGAAGACGCTGGATTAAAAACGGCTCTCGCTGGATTACGGGAGATCTGCGGCTCCGTAAGTCAGGCTGATGCTTTTCATCTTCAAAGAGGATCTGACAGAACTGATATTCACACAGATATGCATTGTCATATTTAATGCGTCCTCATTAGGAACAAAAGCGTTTATTACTCAGATTGTTTTGAAGTGAGTATCAGTGTGTTTTGAACTGATGTGGCGATACGGAGAGCTTTGGTAAACCGTTTTGCGTCCCACTTATGGTCTAGTTTCCAGCTTTTCTGCTGATCTCAAACGGCTGGTTTCAGTCTGACGGTTTCTTCCACTGACTGTCGTATGTGAACTTTCTCAAATCAACCGATTCACCTTCTCTTTCAGCTCTCGCCTGACCTCACCTACATTCCCCATGATGCCAACGGCTGGCAGCTGAGCCAGGTGAGATCACATTTGTACATTTATTCCAAAATTTCTATCACTTGCTTTCTTGCTTTTCTTTTTTTTGCACTTTTTCAATAAACATCCATGATTTTTATTTATTATTTTTAATTGCCTTTTAATTTAGAATTTATTAAAACCAAGTATTAATCTCAGTGATTTAGTGTTTTTAAGGGTTTTTACATGTATTCCAAAATATTAACCAAATAATGTGGTAATTATTTTCAGATTTGGTGTATATTTTATTTGTGCTGTTTATTTTCTATTCAGACCATCAGTCATCAAAGTTCATGATGCTCACAGACCTTTCATTTCACTAAAAACCGCCTCGCTCTCAGATTGTTCAGGTCATTTAAAGTTTGATTGGATTTAACAGAAATGCATTGCTTCTATCTTTTCATTAGCTTGTATTTGTGCTCTTGTGTGCGTGTGATCCTGGTCTAATCTGCAGCATATGGAGGAATCACAGTCACGCGCATCACTGGGGTTTCAGTCCATTAAGCTGCTTTTGACCGCTGTAACTGAGTCTGCTAATTGAGTTGAGTGGTTGGAGGATAAACAAATTAAACCTTTATGAACATTACTGAAATGAAGTGAGGCGGATGTAATGCGACTGGACTGAATCTAATGTAATTGGATTGAATTGAGTGAAGCTAACCTGATATTGTCCCGCGGCAGAGCATGCAGCACGTGACGTTGTCTGAAGCCCTTAGCTCCGCCTCCTGTGTGTTAGGCGACGCCCATCACAGGAACTCCGCCTTAGCAGGGGGCGTGGCACACGTGAGCCACTCCTACTCCATGTTCCTGCCCTCACAGAGAGAGTCTGCAAATGGCAAGGTGAGAGGAACTGCATTTCAGGGCTTTTACACTCATGCTCAAACCTTTATTCTCATTCGTCTCAATAGCAGCTGCTCACCTGTTGAAGTATAAGACCTGCGTGCCATCTTTGCTTGAGTTAGTCACCTGAGCTGTAAATGCCATGTGACTAATTACTCGGGAGCTGCAAGTCCTGATTGGCTGGAAGGCAGCAGAAATTAAATTAAATTAAATTAAATTAAATAAAAAATGAAATGAAATAATAAAAAAGAAAAGAAAAGAAAATGAAATAAATAATAAAATTAAATAAAATTAAATAAAAAATAAAAAAATGAAATGAAATGAAATAATAAAATTAAATAAAATTAAATAAAATTAAATTCTTACATACATAATAAATAAATAAGAAATTATTCCAAAATATTAACTATAAGAATGTGGTTAAAACAATTATAATTAAAAAGTGTAATTGTTTATGAATATTTATAAATAAATAAATAATTTTTACATTTATTATAAAATATTAACTGTAAAAAATGTGGTAAAAAGGTTTCATATTTTGTGTATATTTCATGTGTGCTGTTCTTTTTAATAGCGTATTTCTATTAAAATGAAATTAAATTGAGATAATTTAATTGTAAATTAAATTACTTATAAATATAATTTATTTATAAATAAACAAATAAGTAAGTAAATTGTTACATTTATCGCAAAATATTAACTATAAGAATGTGGAATTCATTTTTATATTTTATTCTTTTTAATAGCCAATTTCTACTCAGACCTATTAAGGTTATCAGGTGTCATGATGGTCACAGAAATATTTATTAAATAAATAAATACATAAATTAATAAAACAATATATAATAAATCAGTCCTTTCACCATTTTAAGTATCTCCAGTAAATAATGAGTGACTTCTGAAACATCTGCTGTAATATAATGAAATATTTGTGCATGCAAAAAATGTGATTTCATCAGAAAACACGTCTACTTTGCAGTCAGGTGACGCAGTTACAACATCTTCCAGCTAACCAGCTAAACTTTGACCCAAAGCAAACACGTTATTCAAACTAAACAGAGGAAGATACAGTAGTATTTTTAATTATTGTTTACTTTTGATCCATTTGTTTCATTGCATTGGCTGTTTAAAGGAACGGCAGCACAAAAGAAAGGTTGTAATGGTAACAGAGGATGAGGAAAGGGTCATGAGAAGCTAAACTATGATGAATATTATAACATATCAGACTTAATTTTACACAATATAACTGCAGATTATGACGTCTTGATCATATTTCTACATTTCTTCTCCTCTCTACAGTCAGATTACAGGCTGGTGGCAGAACCTCCTTCATCTGAGAGCTCACCAGACAGTGAAGGAGTCACACCGGTGAGAAACTCACACACACACACACACTCACACACACACACACACGCACACTCACACTCACACTCACACACACACACTCACACACACACACACACGCACACGCACACTCACACACTCACACACACACACACACGCACACGCACACTCACACACTCACACACACACACACACGCACACGCACACTCACACACTCACACACACACACACACGCACACGCACACTCACACACTCACACACACACACACACGCACACGCACACTCACACACTCACACACACACACACACGCACACGCACACTCACACACTCACACACACACACACACGCACACGCACACTCACACACTCACACACACACACACACGCACACGCACACTCACACACTCACACACACACACACACGCACACGCACACTCACACACTCACACACACACACACACGCACACGCACACTCACACACTCACACACACACACACACGCACACGCACACTCACACACTCACACACACACACACACGCACACGCACACTCACACACTCACACACACACACACACGCACACGCACACTCACACACTCACACACACACACACACGCACACGCACACTCACACACACACACACGCACTCACACGCGCGCACACACACACACGCACTCACACACACACACTCAGACACACACTCACACACACTCAGACACACATGCGCACTCACACACGCACACACACACACTCAGACACACACTCACACACACACACACACTGACCGGTTGTGTCATGACAGGAACTGGAAAAGGCTGGTCTGCTCAACAAAACCAAGATAGCAGAAGGAGGCAGGAAACTGAGGTGAGCTTATCTACTCACACACACACACACACACACACACACACACCTTGACTCCCTTCAGATGGATCGAGATTACTGGCAGAATTTGGCTTGTGCTGCAAAAAAACTGCCTCTTAATCGGTATCCTTCAAACAAGATCGAAGATTCTTGAGAAACAAAATTGCCCAAGATATTAACGTGTTTTTTCTACCAGATTGGCAAATAATTTTTCTTCTTGTTTTAAGCATAAGAAGTATAGTGAGTTTTAGGCTGGTTAATGTTAACCGGTCAGATATGTGGAGTGTATTTTTTGATTTACTAATATTTCTGAGCCATTTAGGCATCAAACAAACTAAAATAAAATAAAATATTTATATTATATATATATATATATATATATAAAAATATTAACTATAAGAATGTGGTAATAATGTTCAGATTTTGTATATATTCTACATAAATATTTAATAAATAAATAAAATTTTTGAGACATTTACAGTAGGAAGCAATGAAGACAATTAATAGGAAGTGTTGACCTTTTGACCTCTGGTTCGTGCTCCTAAATGGAGCCTCTCTGTACTATTTGCTCAAGTTCTCAACTAACCTGGAGCAAGAGTGACGTCTTCGGTGTTATTTTCAGGAAAAACTGGAACCCGTCATGGGTGGTGCTGGTGGGAAACAGTCTCGTCTTCTTCAAAGACCCCAAAAGCCAGAATCCTGACAGCTGGGTGAGACTAACAGGGAATATCATGGAGTCAGTTCAAAACCTAATGCTTTAAAAATGAAATATTTGTGAATATGTTTACATGCAGAAACCGGGTAACAGCTGTCCAGAGAGCAGCGTGGATCTGAGAGGAGCTCAGCTTCAGTGGGCCAATGATCTGTCCAGCAGAAAAAACGTCTTCAAGGTGAGAAAGAGACAGAAAGTCAGATCTCTGAGACTGAAATGAGACGTACACTAAAGGAGAATGTCTCAAACTGTGCTCAGATTTGTCAAATATGCAATCAAATATCATTTTATTTTATTTCCCGAAAGGAGCATCTGTGACAAAGTAAACGTAAAAATAATTTGTGTGTGTGTCTTACTGTGTGAGCCGTTAACAGAGTAACATTTAGTATTTAGTTCCTCAGTAACTTCCTCTGTTATAAGATTAAATTGTGATAAAATGCTGAATGGAACAACACTTCATGTGTGTGTGTGTGTGTGTGTGTGTGTGTGTGTGTTTATGGCTGTGTGTAGCTGAGGACGGTTACGGGAAATGAGTTCTTGCTGCAGTCCGAGACAGAATCGCTCATCAGAGAATGGTACAGAACCATCCAGAACGTCATCGACAGGCTGGTGAGGCTGAAACACACACACACACACACACACACAGACACAAACACACTCACACATGTCTGGCTTGCTATCCTTGTGGGGACTCTCCATAGGCGTAATGGTTTTTATACTGTACAGACCGTATATTCTATTGCCCTACACCAACCCTACCCCTAAACCTACCCCTCACAGGAGACTTTGTGCATTTTTAGATTTTCAAAAAACGTAATTCTGAGTGATTTATAAGCTTGTTTCCCCGTGGGGACCTCAATTTAGGTCCCCACCGTGACATGAGTCCCCATGAGTCTGTGTGTAGTCAGGTTTAAGTCCCCACCAGAATAGAAAAACAGGTACACTCACACTCTCACACACTCACACACACACACACACACACA